GCTTTGCGACCTCTAGGTTCAGGGAGGCAGGGAAAGCACTTTGTCAGCAGAACATAACTGCAGCCATACTGGGTCCACGTAACCCCCACATCTTGTTGCTGACAAAGACCTTTGTAGGTCATGGTGGCCTGGAGAAGAGTCCAACAATTCATCAGTCATCTATGATACTTCTCTTGAGTACTTCTGTCCTCCAACCATTTGACACTCTGACTTCCTCGCACAGAGATTTTTAAAATGAATTTAGAAATCCTCAGAAGATTTCTCTGCTATGAATGTGTCTGGTGTCCCCTTGAATCCATTGCCTCCACCAGCTGCAAAAATGAAATCTTTCATTTCTGTTTAAGCAGTGCAAACAGTGGCTGAGTAACTTCTAGGAGGTCACTGTGCCAATACAAGATGTGCATAAAAGAATATCAGGGCTGTTGGCTTCTACTTTTCAAGAAGTGTGCCCACTGCTGTGTGTGGCAACATTTGCACTATGCTTAAGGTCAGTCTGAACTAGTGCCCTTCCTTCTACTTCCTTCTGGGGCTCAAAGATTTCTCAGCTAGTTCCACTTGAAAATTTATGAGCCCCAGAAGGAAGTAGAAGGAAGGGCACTAGTTCAGACTGACCTTAAGCATAGTGCAAATGTTGCCACACACAGCAGTGGGCACACTTCTTGAAAAGTAGAAGCCAACAGCCCTGATATTCTTTTATGCACATCTTGTATTGGCACAGTGACCTCCTAGAAGTTACTCAGCCACTGTTTGCACTGCTTAAACAGAAATGAAAGATTTCATTTTTGCAGCTGGTGGAGGCAATGGATTCAAGGGGACACCAGACACATTCATAGCAGAGAAATCTTCTGAGGATTTCTAAATTCATTTTAAAAATCTCTGTGCGAGGAAGTCAGAGTGTCAAATGGTTGGAGGACAGAAGTACTCAAGAGAAGTATCATAGATGACTGATGAATTGTTGGACTCTTCTCCAGGCCACCATGACCTACAAAGGTCTTTGTCAGCAACAAGATGTGGGGGTTACGTGGACCCAGTATGGCTGCAGTTATGTTCTGCTGACAAAGTGCTTTCCCTGCCTCCCTGAACCTAGAGGTCGCAAAGCTCAGTCAATACCACTAAGATGAATTTTCTGCTGATGGAGAGCTTCCCTAAACCAGGGGAATTCTTCTCTGGTAACTCCTAGCTGTTTAAACCTTGCTGCAGTTTACGTAACATACTCAACATGGTATAACAATTGCTTTAGCTTGGAAATTCCAGCTTAAAGCCTCACTCCCAGCTTTCATCATCTACAAGCCCTCAGAACAGCACATAACTACATATGCTTTCAGCAATGGGAACTATGTGTGTGGCGACTCATATGCATACATGTGCTGCATATTATCATCTACTGGACAAAACTTTTAAAAGAACTAGGCTTCTGTAGCAGCAGTTTTTATCATGTTTGTCTGTCATGAAGTGATCAAGAGCTCCTCCTAATAGTAAATACGAGCCGAAGCAAGCCTTGATGGGAACTTACATCTTCCTGTTTTGAATCAGGTTTTTCACAGAAGACAAGACACTCCAATGCTCTATGCAAAACACAGTGTCCTAATGAAGGACCTGTTCTTCCCATCTGGGGTATGTGCTGGTGTTTTTAACAACTGTTTTCCTGCAGACTCTTGCTGCACATAAACTGTAGGTATTATCTTTTTTCTCAAATCATTCGAAGAAGTAAAATGCAGCAGAAGAGAAAAGCAGCATGGCAGAACCACAGAATCACAGAATCAACTAGGTTGGAAAGGATCTTGAAGATCATCCAGTCCAACCGTTGACCCAGCACTGACAGTTCCCAACTACACCAGATCCCTCAGCGCTATGAATTGCATATGAAAAGCAGTCATGACCAGAGTACAAGCAATGAGGAGTCACCACAGAGAAGCCAGCGTGAGCAGGCATCATGTACTGCCTTTATAACAGCAGCCTTCAGACTTCTACCAAAGCAATTATGTGCAGCAGCAATCAGCCCCACCAATCCTGCCAGGAACAAGATATATGGAATCCCCACAGAAAATACAACTACTAACAGATATTTGTGACTGCTCTGCGTTGGCAGGATTAGATAAGCACCACTGGCACAGTTTCTCACTCTCCACACTTGTCAGGCACCTTTCATTACCAGATGAACAACTGTATTTAACTGGCAGTAGTCAAACCAGATGCCCTCCAGTGATCCCCCCAATCTACATAGTTTCTGTGGCTCCTGCCCCAGGAGACAGGCGCTGCTCTGGGACTTTCAAACATCAGAGGGATTTTTCAGGGTTAGTAATAGTACAGTTTGGAGGGAGGGAGATGCTGAGCCTCTCGGGATTTTTGTTACTGAAATTCTTGGTTCTGCCTGGGAGAGTTGTGGGGAAAAAAACCCCAAAATAACCTGAACTTCTTATAGATAATTTCCCATCTGCTGGAAATCCTCAAACAAAACTTATGGGGCCCTGAAATTTCCAGCTCTGAGCAGTAGACACTTCCCTTTTTCCCTCAACATATACATTCTGGACCATGGTCCCAGCAGCTATAACTCAAGAGGTTTAACCTAAGTGTCTTCAACTCAGCTGTTTTGACATACACTGAGACTCTGGTCTTCAGTCCTGGCAGCATCTGGGAGCATTTATATGAATGTCCACAAACCCAGCATTCAAACACTAGACATGCTATTTTTTGGGTTCAATCTCTTAAAGGAAAAAGGTGGAGGGAACGCATCAAACATCAGCATCCTTGCACTAATCACTAAAGCTTTGCAGCATCCCTGTGAAAATGCTTGTAACCCTGCCCTTCCTAAGGGATTCGAAATCCAAAGCCAGCATTCAATCCCACAGCAAGAACCTAAGATATATCAGTCACAAAATATGTTAAGTCACCTATGTTCAGCTATCACGGGTTTTTTTATTGAAGTTTGGTCAGCAACTCATTGAAGAAAAGGAAAAGAGCAAACTGACTGAAAACCTGTTCCCAGGCAGACAGGATCCATCTGCTGAGTATTTGCTAGTCTGATGGTACAGGATTAACTACAGGGCTGTCCAGACACAGAACACTCAGCCATAAGCTGAATATCTTGGATACCAGTACAAGTCTAGCTGTGGGAAGGCAGAGCACAGCATGCTTTAACCACGGAGTATTTACCCTTCTTCTTTTAACTACAGAAAAATGTTTCATTACTTACGTAATTTAAATGGAACAAATGTGGTTTATTTCTGTGTCCAAATTTAATCCTGATGTAGGTTTAGAAATGGAACTACTCTAAATGAAACAAACTTGGGTCCCTTTATGAACATGTAAATTCAGTAACACAGACAGGAGGTTACAGGCTAATCTGTGTCTTAACTAATTTCTAAAATGAGGACAAACTCTGGAAGTACATCTGAAAATATCCCTTCTTTTGCTTTCACACAGTGAAGGAGGCTGGTGGAGAGTCCATTCCCTCACAACAGGTCGAGAAAATTATATTCCAGGAAAATATGTAGCAAAGGTTTACCATGGGTAAGTAAGTGCATTTGTTACAGCCTTTCAACACTATGTCTCTACTTATACTGCCCTGATAAATTATTCAGTGTCATAATCCAAAAAATGCCAATAGTGACTGGACAGACAGAAATGTTATTTATTGACAGTCTAAAATATTTCATTGGAAATCTGAGAACATCAAATCCACATCTAAATTTAGATTATATGAAAAGGAAAATCCTAGTTTTAAATGCTGTAAAGGGTCAAAACCCCCTCAAATGTCATATAAGATATTTAAAATACTTCTGTTTCCATGGACTGATCTCTAATTTTAAGAACTTGATAAAGAGCCTATTTAGAAATAATTTTTAGTGCTTACAAAGAGTAAAATTTAAGCTAGAGTTGCTCATGAATAACAGACCAAAAAGAACAAATAGATTAGCAGGTCATTCAAGAATGTAAATTCTCACACTGGAAGGGCTAAGAAATGTTTAGAGGTTTCTTGTTGCCTTAGACACCAGTCAGGGGAAAAAAAAAAAAAAACATTAAAGCACACACTTAAAACTTTTCTGGCAAAAGTTTTAATCCCTGTTTAGTTTTAAGCGTATGAAGTGTGAACTTCACTGCGATTTATGCAGTGCTTAAATTTTAATGTGCATTTATATCCTCCTAAAATAGAGCTTTCCCAAAGACAAGACACAGGTATGATAATGGAAGCTACTTTCTGAAGCTTCCCTAAGATCATTTTGCTGATAGCAGGCTAGAGCAAACACACAAGAACAACTTTAAAATAAAGTGCCCGTAACTCCTACATCAACTAAGCAAGGTCAGCTACATGGTTAGACACTAGCTGTGGCAAAATACGTCAGACCATGAAGATATGGTGAAAATCAGTAGGAATGATTCCACTTTCTCTTATCCACAAAGCCAACTAACTTAAATAGCTGGACTGTTCCCTAGCACAAGCAGGGTAATTGTATTTTATTTTGGGTTTATTTACAATACAATAAAATACAATCTGGGGTTAACAAAAGTGGTTTCAATGAAAAACAGGGATTTAACTACTGCCACAGATATGCCAACAGTATACCACATGGATATGTCCCCAACAATTCAGATCAAGACAGCTCAAAAAGTTTTGTTTACGCAAATAAGTCCAAACCTTATTCACTCTTCTCTTAGTCTCACAAAAGTTAATAGAACTCAAAGAGAGCAAGATTTTCTCCATAAACTGGGAAAATATGCCTGGACATAGTTGAGAAAATAACTACAGAAAGCCACACTGTTATTTTTGCAGTCACTTTTCCTGGCTAGTGCTGAACTTTCACGGCCACATGCTGCTCTCTGTTTCACTGGTGTCCAAATTTCAGAATTTGTTTTTTCCTGCTTCACAGCTGGTTATTTGAAGGGCTGGGAAGAGAAAAAGCAGAGGAACTTCTACAGCTACCCAACACCAAGGTTGGCTCCTTCATGATCAGAGAGAGTGAAACTAGGAAAGGTGAGAAAATACGATTTTTCCCCCCCTTGATGTCAGGCATTAACAGTTTTACAGCTCTTTAATTCACTCCCTCCTGTTTCATATGGATCAATCAAAAACCAGAAAGCGTATGTAATAGGAAGGCAAAGGCACCCAGTGCAGCATGCCAGACCTCACCAGTCACCTACGTTACGAGCGATGCTGGAAGCAGGGCTAGCAATGGCCATGGAAAGTTCCACAGGCATCAGCACAACAAGACACAGTTGTTTAAACACTGTTATTTACTTTGGTCTCATGCAAAGCTTGTTAGGCAGTGTGAGTTTTCAAATGGAGGAAAAGTCAGAGCTTTGCCTTGGTCCACAAAAGATTGCCCGAAGAAACTATAAAATACACACCAAACAGTGGGGGTGGCTGGTAAGTGTATTTCCTATATAAACAGGTGGTTCTTTTATTTACTTTTTTTAAATGACATGCCTTCAATTTTTATTTTCTTTCATAGCAATAATGTTGCTACATGGGTATTGTACTGTACACACCTTACAGTTTTATTCTCTTCAAAGGGAATACATCTCCCATTGTGCAACATATCTTCCCTTTTTCTGGAGCACCAGAACACATTCTAATACCATGATACCACAGTTAGAAGGGAATAATAAATCATCTACTCTGATCTCTTACATATCACAGGTCAATTAGTTTCATAATACCTGTACTAAATTTAAAGAAATTTAGTATCAACATTCGGTCCTTACCAACTAAATGCTGCACAAAGTAAAAGGAAAATCCAAGTTGTCATCTCCTGCCAGGATTGCATTATTGGGTATCAGCTTCTGCATTACTGGGAGCAAACTATATCTGCATACATGAGTCTGATGTCCCTCTTCAGGGGAAGGAAAACTATTTCTGTAAAGGCCTGTTTCCTTTACACCACTTCAAAAAAGTCCCATACCAGCAAAAATAAAGGAAAAAACCACGAGCAATTTAAATTCAAACAAAGTCTCAGGACCTAAATTTAGGTCCTTTATTCCCTTTGTTATACTTAAGTATATATATAAATTATATCATATAAGCAGAAATTAGGATGGCCACTCAGTTTTTTTCAGATCTTTCTGGGACCTTTTGGATCATGTCAGCACATCTTAGAGATACTGTGGTTGTGGTCACTGCTATCCATCCAGAATTAGTGCCTTACTTTGGTGTCATTAGTTCTCCTCTTTCTCCAGGGTTATACTCCTTGTCGGTGCGGCACAGACAAGTGAAACATTACAGGATCTTCCGCCTTCCAAATAACTGGTATTACATTTCTCCACGGCAAACCTTTCAGTGCCTTGAAGACCTTGTGAATCACTACTCAGGTAAAAAGAACTGCAGAATAAACATATTTTCCACTGGCAACTGTAAAACTATCAAAGGTCCAGGACCTTTGCCTATGTCTGAGACTTGCAACTACTGTCACAGAACAAGTAATGGAAAAACTTTTGATTTATATCTTTTGCTTTATTTTTGATCCTAAATGCAAATATGCTACCTTTAACAGTACAACTGAAACCAACCCAAGAACTCAGCTAAATAAAGACAGATAGGTTCTGCCCGTATTGGTATATGGTATTGTATGGACATGTCAGTAACACTATTTGGTCCAAAGGCTAGTGTCTAGCACTTCCCTAAACAACTTTCAGATATAATTTGGAGGTTAGCACAGGCCAGGGATGCCCAGCCCATCTCAGAGCACAGCTAAAGTTAAAGTCTGGGTGTACAATAATGTTAAGCTCTGCAGATGGAGGTCATGGTTCTGAGTCCCAGGGCCAGAGTTCAACTCCTGGATGACTTTGTTTAACATTATGGACATGTCTTCCAGTTAGTTATTTACCGTATAGACAGAGAGATATCATCAGGACATGCAAGACCAGGTTCTGCAATCTTGCTTCTCTTAGGAACCATTACATCAGATGACCTTATCTGCAGCAGAAAATTCTCATAAATGTTAATTTGTTCCCTATTACTTTAGAAGAGCATGGGTGGATTTCATCAGCATAAGTTATTTCAAGGGGCTCAAGCCGTTAGATCAAATCTAGACTCAGCTGTCATTTTTACTATCAGTCCAATGGATGACACCGGTTTCAACAATAGTTTTCCAGATTTATGGCAATCTAACCTGTGTCAGAGAGATAACTTGGCAAATGATACAATTAAGTAGCTGTAGTTACCATGCATTAAAATGAGAACATTTTAAAAAGAGGAAGGAAGATTGCAATAAGTTAATTGCATAAGTCATGAGAGAACAATAGGTTCTGTGCTTTAATTAGTAATGGTACTCCGTAATCTTAAAAGTGTAAAGTTACTATATCTGTGTATTTCATACATAAATGAAAAAGTGTGTTGGCCAAAGAGTACTTTGATAAACTGGGGAGAAAATCCATATTCACATTCAAAACATGCAAAAGAAACTTTCAAGTCCAATGATATAAACAGAGGAGTGAGAATTTGGACATGACATTTTTTTAATACATTTTAGTTAGCTGACACCTTTCTCCACTTAGAAAGAAACTAACATCAAAACCTAAAATTCAGGATGGGGAGGAACACAAAGCTTATAACAATTAACATTTTTTTTGAGTTATAGGTGTAAGAGGAGATATGGTGAGATTTAGCTCTCCTCCTTCCCCTACCATGAGATGATACAGAATCTCACCCTGAAATAAGGCTAGTGTAAAACACGAGCATTCAGCCATGACGTTCTCTACTCGGGAAGAAGAACATATGTGATCTTTCTAGTGGAGCAAGCAGCAGAGGATAGAGAGAAGAAACATAGATGAAAGTAACGTGTGAACCTTGATTCATTCCACAGCCATGTTCCACAGCAGAATCGGTGCACATGCAATCCAATCTGAGTGGCTACATCTTGCATCTATTTCACACTCTTATTATCACAGCTGAGACAATGGGGCACAAAAGTAGAACTCACTGAGGACTCAGAAAACCTGGGTTTAAGTCCCTGCTCTGTCATAAACTTCCTTGTAGATTTCAGGCAAGTCTTTCTGTGTCTCAGTTCCTCACTTGTTTTGTGGGAAATACACCCCATGATAAATTAAAACCCAAAAGTATGAGGAAAGGAAAAAGTTAAGTCTGTATTACAGTGTCCTTGCTGAGAACGCACTATTTATTTACTACTACTGTGTCCAAAAGTGTTCATTTGAGCATGTGCCAGGGAAGTAAACCAGTGAAGATAACCGTGAGCAAAGTTTAACTGTCTGTGTATTCATTTCCCTGTTCAGAAGTTGCTGATGGTCTTTGCTGCGTCCTTACAACACCTTGTCTTACCCAGTGCACTAACAACAACAGCGTCACAAATCAAGTTCCTCCTGTGATGATGCGGAATAAAAACTTCAACTGGAGAAACATTCACAGGTACCACGTACAACACAGGCTGCCAGAAACAAGATTTTTTCCAGACTTGCATATACTTGGTTACAGAAGAAACAGCCACTTCCTTCTCCTGAGACCAGTTTTAAAGATTAGACAATCTTCAAAGCTGCTGACGGCAGGTTGACCCATGAAAACAGGATGTCCAGCTTTCTAACTGATATTCTTGGTCTAACTTTGAAAGGAACTACAGTTAGCATTCTGCCATTTCTCCTGTGCAGCTAAGAGTATGGCCACATGTGCAGTCCCTTTGGGACTCATGAGTCCTCTCCACCAAGGGGGCAAGATGAAGAGCTCCTCCATAAAGCCTAGTCAGATCCACCACCAAAGGCACACTGATGTGCCATGGCTTACCAGTGAGCCCTGGTAGTTCCCATGGTGGCTATCCATGTAGCAGCACAAGTGTAATGGACACGTTATTCCAGCACAAATCCTTCCTGCTGTGTCTCTCTCAATACACAGCCCAACCTGAGGTTCATGAGATTTCTAATATCATGACTGCAGCTAGGGAAAGTAGGTCAGGTTTCAGAAGCTGGTGAAACAACCACCTTCAGAATCAAAAGCACCTCTTATTTCTGAAGTGTAAATTTCCCTTCTCTACTCTTCCTTCACAAAGCCTATTCATTTGCTTACAAATGCAAGAAAATTCTGTACAGCATCGAGGCCATTTTTCCTACAGATTAAGAAGAAAGAGAAAATATATACATGTTATTTCCTTTTCAGATGCCAAAAAATATTTAGATACTACTGCTGTACTGATTGTTTCGGAAAATTGCTAAGTGACAGAAATGTTTGGTGATTTATGAGACAGGAAATTTTTTATACAACAAAATTAACATCATTTGGTTTAACAACTGCTAATATTATACTACTAGGCTCAATGCAAGTAGATGAAATGATAACAAAATTTTGTTCTTTTAAAGGCTGGAGATGACTGAAGATACTGAAAGTACCCTGGCAGCAATGGATGATTCTTGTCTCAGCTATGGCCTGAGGGAAAGTATTGCTTCCTACCTCTCCTTAACAGGGGATGACAACACTTCTTTTGCAAGTGCCAGAAAGAAGAAAGCCCAATCCCTGATATACACAGGGAGCAAACGAAAGAGTACCCTTCACTTGCCACCTACGTACTATGAAGACTAAATGTAAGACAACCGGGGGCGAAAAAAGCAACTGAGGGGTAAGAAGAGAAACTCAGAGCATCCTGTGGTCCTGCAGTCCTTCAGCAGCTGAGAGATACAAGGACATCAGCTGATGATCAAACTCTGGCAATGATTGATTCTGCATTTCCTCTTCTGAATGTTAACCAGAGACCTTCTTAAGGGTGCTATCTCAGACCCGGCATATGCTGGGAACATCCCCGCTGCACCTGCAATTAGAACCTGCTCATAAACAGAGATAGACTGTAAGTCAAGAGCCAAGTGAGGCAGATGACTCTTCAGCAAGGGCGATGCCCATCATTCTACAAAGGTGATCACATAGGGAAGGACTAACTACAGCTCAAGAACTTAAAATAAATCTTACTCTGGTATTCTCCACAAAGCTGAAAACTGCCTTTACAGAACCTACCTACACTGAAAACAGAAGCCTTTTTCTTCTCTATATATAATCCTTGATTGTCATTGACAATGGGGCAGAAAGTCATCAATAACCCCAAGAAAGTAACATCCAGCATCCAAGAAACATCCAATTATATTGACTCCATACTTTTGTCTTTTTTACTTCTTAGGGGAAAAAATTAAAATCATTGACTTTCCAAGTGGCATTTAATTCAACAACTGGTAACAGCCTGCAGTGTCACAAAATTAAGAATAGGCTTAACTCACTGAGAAAAGCAGTTCCTGCTTAGCCTTGAGCTGGGAATACAGGCATATGCAAAATCATAACTCAGCTGCTCATAGTCTAGCAGATATACAACAAAGAACAAAGGGGTTTTTGAGCAAAAATTAAAATGTGGTAATATCATGCCTAAGTGCAAAGTATGCTTGCAAAGGTGTGACTTTTTATGTGTAGAGGACCAAATTTTAACCTTATCTCCTGAAGCCACCCCCGTATTTATGTATAATATTTATATTAATAGCAGCTTTTTTAATAATGAAACTAAGAGAGAAAATCAGCATGGTGGATGTTAAAGAGTTTCCTGAATTTCTCGTCTGAAGGGAGTTAGGTCAAATAGTAATGACACATTTCAAACTGCTTAAATATTTGCAACTCTGTTATCTGAAATTTCATGAATTAGACAATTTATATATATATATATACTGTCTCTCTAGATGCTTTATTATCTTGAAGCATCTGAGTCTCACCCAGGGTCTGATATCTTGCAAGCACTGTATTTTAAATGCAAAGTAACAGATA